GTGGAACAAGTCAGATTATAGATATGGAGTGGGGTGGCCCCAGATGCAGACAGCTTACCCTCCTGCAGTTGATCTGGGTAATACAGCTTTCACAAGCCCCTGGGCAGCTGATAGTGAGGTCCTTGGTCACTAGACTGAGGTTTGCATTGCAGGATGTTGGAACCATGGGTTTCTGGCACTCTCTGGTTAGTAACTCGTCCCCTAAACTGCACTGGGATGACTCAGGTAAGATTCTGTACTTTGATATTTCTAAAGTACATCATTGTTTTGACATTTCTTATTAATTACTTTTCTCCTGACAGGGCAAATAGGATGGAAGTAGGAAATCAGAGAACTAACTTCTCTGAGCATGCCAGGCACTGAGTTGTTTCACTTGCACTCTTCACCACCAGCTAGTTTGATATTCCCAGCAAAGAAATGAAAAACTGCATTTCAGGGATAGGCATACACCCACTAGTGGAGAAGTTCCAAAATGAAATTCAGGCCCAAACACACCATCTATAAGCCAAAGGGACAAGAATTGGATAGATGGGTGGATGGAAGGATGGATGGGTGGGCATTTTCATCAAGGGTACCTTCTCCCAGAAATCTTTTTTCTTTTCCTACATGACTTGGCAGTTCATCCTACAGAATTCTCTTTCCAGGTCTATTTCAATATACTCCCTTTTTGGACAGTATAAGGGCCACAATTCTACATCAGGCTCCTTTCTTATCTGTACCACCTCCAGATTCTCCCAACACATGTCCTTGTCATCTGCTCCTAAGCACTAATTAGAATGAAATGCAACTGCCAAAGACTAACCTGTAAGGCCTTGCAGGATCTGCTGCCTACCAGTGTAATTTCCCCTGACATTCCCTTCAATCTATCCAATACAAATGGTCCTCTATCTTCTAGTCTTGCCTCAGCCAAGGCCAGCCCTTCTACCCCCTCCTATGTCTGAAAACGTAATCTATCATTTCAGTTTCTGCTCAAACAGCACCTCATCCTTGAAACCAAAAGTCTTTCTCCACACTCTGTCTTTCCTGTTGGAACATAAGCTCCTCAATGTCTAAATTCATGTCTTATTCAACATTGCTACCCAGCCACGTCCTGGGCCAAGGTCACATAACCAAACAGAGACAGAACCTTCCGATGATTCCCATAGCAGCATTTTTTCAGTAAGTGAGTTGCTTCGGGCTCTGCTGGAATCACAACAAAGTTTTGTGCTATTTTCTTGTGTCATTCAGAGCCATCAAAACAAACTAAGCCTGAATCCCACTCTTGCATTATCTATGACAGCAGCTTATGGAATTCTGAAGTCTCAGAATTTTATTTGGAGAATTTGATCAACAGAAGTGTTGGATAATGAAAACATTCCATTCAAATAACATTTTCTCACTAAAAAAAAAGCAGTTATGATGTTGGCTCCTAAGCTAATCTTCATCAGCTCTCTGGTGGCCAATGTGCCCACAGAACAGACTTTTTAATTGAACTAAATTGCCTTTCTTGCCAGGCTCCACATCACTCACATTTGGCAAGTCAGTTTAAACTATATCCCATTTAGTGCACGAGGCTCTTCATTCCACTAAATATACATTCATTCCCACCACCTACTCTGGACATAGTTTTGAGTTTCTGGGGAACTAAACTGGGCACTCATTTCCAAACTGACTGGCATGTCTCATTTCTGAGTGAAAAACAGGAATGTTATCGAGCAAGTGTCTGAACTGACCTAGAAGAAAAGGTACAATTTGGGATGGGAGAAAATTATTCTCTATTTCATGTCAATCACCTAAGCCAGATTTTTTTAAAATGAGACATTTCTTCTCCTTTGCTACCCACCACCCACATCCAATTAATCACTAACTCTTGTCAATTTTGATCTCTAGACTACTTCTAAAATTCAACAGCCCTCTCTCTTTAGCCTAGGTAACCCTATTCAGACCCTCATCAACCATCAGCTAAATTAATTCCCTCTGAATTTTAAAATCATCCTTCAATTTTTCTCCAACTGTGTGGTATATCAGAGATGCATGTGCCATTTATTTAAATATAGGTTAATAGGTGCTGTGCCACAGAACTGATGTAGGAGGCTTTGAGTGGAACTCAATGATTTGCATTTTAAACAAGCATCCCAGGCAACTCATATTTAGATGCTCCCAACAGCACATTTTGACAAGAACAATTACCACAGTGACCTCAAAGTATAGCACTAAAATGGAAATATTAAAACAATATACCTGTAATTAATTAAAATTACTCACACACTTTTCACATGGTCAAAGGAAAATAATGAAAGCTATTGATGGTGATGACATGATGTTCAAAGACCTTTATGAATTGGCCTCTTTCCTTGTCTACTACTCCACTTCCCAAAGCCTCTGGAACACAATGTGCTAACATACACAGTGTTTCCTTCTTTACAAAGCTCTCTCTAGTTTCAAAGACCCTTCCAGCATTTTTTTCTGACCAATTCCTGCCAGGCATTCCATTGTGCAGCAATATCCCTTGTCCCCATGTGCTCCCCACACTTCCTGTGCTCTTACAGCTCCTTAGAATCCATCACAGCATTCTGCCAGCGGTAAGGAAATCACCTACTTACTCATCTATTTGCCCGCCACACTGTGACTTCTCTTTTATATAAGGAGCACTTTTCTCTTTGCTTGTTTTGCCTAGCCTTGCGTATGGGATGCAGTCAGCAAATTATCTCTACTTGAATGTGTCCTCAGCAGCGATCACACCCCTCCACAACTGATTCCTTTTTACCATAAATGAAATTAGAAATTGAAGCACCTGGCCTGGGGCCTCCTGACTCCCTTAAAATGAATAGAAACCAGTACTTACTCCCCATTTGCCTTGTAAACCAAGCAAGGAAATATAATTGTTGTAAGAGGACTACAGTAAGATTTTAAAGCAAGTAAAAAAGAAAAAATAAATATAGAATAAGTTTTGGTAAACTCATACAGCAGAGGAGTAAGTGGCACAGGCTCTGGAAGTAGACCAAGGCAGTTGCAATCCCAGCTCTTTTGTTGTAGGTAGTCTGCACAAATTCTTTGTGCTTCAGTTTCCTAACAGGGGGTAAAGAATATCTCCTAGGGTTGTTAAGGCATACAAAATAGTAGAGTAGGTAGTGGCAAAATTTTTCTGTAAAATGCCAGAAAGGGCATATGTTAAACTTAGCAAGATAGTCTCTCTATATCTCTATCACTATCTGTCAACTACACAAAAGGTAAAGCAGCTATAGACAATACGTGAGCAAATGGACATGGTTATGTTCCAATAAAACTTTATTTACAAAAGCAGGCAGTGAGCCAGAGTCGGCTGTAGGACTGTAATTTGCTGGTCCCTGCACCAGACCAATCTGCAGTACCTGTTAAACTTGGTAATATTGTAGTTGCTATTTTCCTTGGAGACATTTGTTTTTTGGTAAGGAACTAGAGTTTTCAACTTTTTTTTGTTTAACTTGGAATCATGTCTCCATCATAATGAAAACACGTCCTGCCTACTTACAAAATGGGCTAGCATCAGATACTCTCTCAGATTTCTTACCACTCCTCACCGATGTTTCTCATCAGAAATAAAAACAGCAGGACCTTTTCTGGAGTAATATAGCTTCTCCTATAATTTTGACCATTCTGAAGCACCGAGTTTCAGTTTATTTATTTATTTATTTTTGACAGGCAGAGTTAGACAGTGAGAGAGAGAGAGAGACAGAGAGAAAAGTCTTCCTTTTTCCATTGGTTCATCCCCCAAGTGGCCACTAAGGCTGGTGCGTTGCGGCCGGTGCACTGTGCCAAACCGAAGCCAGGAGCCAGGTGCTTCCTCCTGGTCTCCCATGCAGGTGCAGGGCCCAAGGACCTGGGCCATCCTCCACTGCACTCCCTGGCCACAGCAGAGAGCTGGACTGGAAGAGGAGCAACCAGGACAGATTCCAGCACCCTGATCGGGACTAGAACCCGGGTGCTGGCACCGCAGGCGGAGGATTAACCTAGTGAGCTGCGGCACCGGCCAAGTTTCAGTTTAAAAACCTGTAAGATACTATAATGGGAAACTCATCGATAGCTGCAGCCTGACATGAATGATTTTGTTCACTTGAAAATCATTTATATTGATTGATAGACTGTTCATTAATAATTCTGTTAATTAAATCTAGACAACTCTGGATAAAACCACAAAACTCCTAAATATGGAATCAATCATGCCTTTGCTTCACTTTTCTGCTGATAGTACCAAAATTTTTTTCTTAACTTTCAGAATTATTTAGATATTTCTGATCAGCAAGTCAGTGCTACTACCAGGAAATTAAGGATGGTCTATGTTGAGGACAATATTTAGTTAATATTCTGGATTATTCTTGTGCTGCTAAACTACAGGTACAATGACTGAACCACTACTGACCCTTTCTCCAGAAACTAAATGGATTTTATTATATTTTTTTTGACAGGCAGAATTAGACAGTGAGAGAGAGAGAGAGAGAAAGGTCTTCCTTTTTCCGTTGGTTCACCCCCCAAGTGGCCACTAAGGCTGGTGCGTTGCGGCCGGCACGCTGCGCCAATCCGAAGCCAGGAGCCAGGTGCTTCCTCCTGGTCTCCCATGTGGGTGCAGGGCCCAAGCACTTGGGCCATCCTCCACTGCACTCCCGGGCCACAGCAGAGAGCTGGACTAGAAGAGGAGCAACCGGGACAGAATCAGCAGTGCCCCAACCAGGACTAGAACCCAGGATGCCGGTGCCACAGGTGGAAGATTAGCCTAGTGAGCCAGGGCGCCAGCCCTAAATGGATTTTAAAAAGCCACACCTGCCTGCTTTTTGGGTCAGCTTTTGCAAGTGCTAAGCTTTTCTCCAGTTTGTCTGGAAGTTGTTCATTCCCGCACATTGTTCCCACTTTATTAAACTTCTCTCTGTCAACTGCCCCCACCAACACACACACGCACACGCACACACACACGCACACGCACACGCACACACACACACCAGATTTCCATTTTGTTCTGCAGGGCCTAAACCAGCAATAGCCACTGGCACTCTGAATGAGAGAGGAAATTTTCTTGCTCACTAACATTCCCAGCCACTCACAGGTGCCTCTGCTTTCCCTCTCTTTTCTGCCTCGTCTACTCACCCCCAAGTTGCTTTAACTCATGTCATGAGTACCTAGCACTAGTTACTTCTCACAATGGTGTCTGCCTGGTCTCTTGGCTCCTAGGCCTACCTGCCTGCTTATGTCCAGGCCTGCACAGTACTTCATCCAAAATAACATGAATAGCTCAAAAGAGATAAGTGGAGTATCCTCTCACTTTGGAGCATCTTCCCCTTTGAAAAGCATCATCCTTGTGTAATACCTAGTGTCAACTCATCCCGAGCCAAGGGCCCAGCTATGCCACATTTCAAGCTCCACTACAGAATATTATCCTTTGGGTGGGTGCCCTGCCAACTCCTCACTGGCAGTGTGTTCTTGCAAAACACTAGTTTGGAAATACAACTTTTAGGTCTGGTCCTATATTTAGAGAAGGGCATCAGCTTCTCCACTGTCTGGGAGTGTTGACAGTAGCTTGCTGTTTCAATGCAATTATTCTTCACTTCCAATCCTTCAGAACATTTTATCAGCCTGGGACTCCACATGGTTTTGCTTCTACATAGATGGAATGTCAAAATGGGTAGATTCAGATCTAATTCTGGGCAGTTGGTGTACATCCCACATGCTTGCTGGCAAATTTGGTTCATTTTTCAAAAGGATCAGATGCTTTTCTTTCCTCTAACAAAATAGATTTTGTTCATTTTGTACATTTGGGTGTGTATGCATGTGTGGCAGGTGGGTGTTAATAGTGGATGCCTCTTTAAAAGCAGAAAAATACTTAGAAAAGTGTAACTCTTGATATTAAGAGAAAATATACTTCTCTCTTAACATGCTAGGTTGAAGTAGTCAAACCCTGCTAATACAGCTGTATGTAAAGAAATGCTGGTTCCCTCAATAGCCTCGTTTTCCCCTCCCCTGGTTTTTTGGGTAGGTGAAGGGGTCCTGGTCCCCACATTCTGTAGAAGGCCGCAGTCTCAGAGTTCTCCCTACAAGATCCCTGAAGCCACACTGTTGCTTTGTTCGAGTTCTTTCACAGAGGCTTCTTATCTCCAGTAGCAAAGGCCACAATAAATATTTCAAGTCTCTGCTCTTACACAGCTTACCATTGCTATTGCGTGAGCAAGTTCTGATCATGCCATATTCAGTGGGAAAGATTTCTAGATAAGACTTGAGATTATACTCTCAACAGACCATTGACCTAACCAACTAAAAAATGGGCATGCAAATCACCTGGTTATGGATTTGGACTCAGGAGGTCAGGTATGTAGCTTAAGTTCTGCTTTTCTAACCAGTTCTCAGGGATCACCCAAGCTCTAGGTCTGTAGACTACATTATTGGTAAGATAGATTTAAACCACTCTCTCTATTTATACATCATACCTGAAGTTTAGTGGTTTAAAAATCCTAGATAAAATTTTTAAATCAAATCTTCTTTGCTTTAGATACACTTTCTAGGTAGAAATCAGACTCCAGTAACTGACAATTTCTATAGCTGATTTGAACCCCTAATAGAATTTCTGGTTCTGTCTCTATTCCCAAGTGGTCAACAGTAGGAAATTATTATGCTCTCACCACAGTGAACCATCTACTGAACACCTGCTCATTTTGATCCTTGCATCATAGCTAAAAATACAATATGCTCTGACCCTCCTCTCCTTCCAGATGGCTTCCACTGGAACAGAGAAAATCTTTTGCTCTGTGGATTCATGCCCAACCTGCCACCTCCAACATGTTCAACCTGGCAAGCATCTTCTCAAGATACTGAGCTTAACACTAGCAGTTTCCTTATGGCAGAGCCAGCAGTAGCTATTTCCACAAAATCTTGGCTTGCTTTTCATATTCTCATAAAGCTTGAACATCTCCTAAATCTATGGTGACTTGAAATCTGGAGGGATGCTCACCTACCACCTTTGGGAAAGAATCTACCGCTGTCAATACAAAATCTACCTGCAGTTGGTTCTTCTAACAACAATAATAGCTTCCATTTATTTCATGTTTTAATGGGCCAGAAGTGTCCTAAGAAATTTATAAACTTTATATGAATTACAACAAGTCCTGATGAAGTAAGATTGGCCCTATTTCACAGCTGGGACAAGTAAAGACAACGAAAGATCACGTAATTTAATCACACATCTGGTAAACGACAGAACTTGACTTTGACATCAGGTCTGGCTAATTCTAGAACCGTACTCTGAACCTGAATGTCATTTTGTTCTAGATTTCATGGTGCTATAATGATGTATTTGGCGTGGTTAGGAAAGCAGGCTCAAAATCAAAAAATAGTGTTAATGCCAAAGCTATTTTGATTCAAGTTTCTTGGATAAAATGATTTCAGAATATTTTCCATACAATCCCATAACCTGCTGAACCTGAAGGATGTTAGAATATATGTTGAAAGTTGGACAATCTTTTAAAAATACTTCAAAATAAATAATTTCTAAAAACCCATTCACGGCCACAGTTGTGACCAAAGGTTTAGCTACATGGCATGAACTAAGATTTTTAGACTTTAAGCGATGTCTGTACTGAAGGAAGGCATGCCCTTGATTGTGTTTTCCTACTAACCTCACTAAAGCTCTTATAATTCTTGCTTTCTCCCTCTTTTTCACAAAAGCAGTAAAGAATGGTCAACACTTTGACCTTTTGGACAATGAGACTTGGCTCCCTCTACAGAATTAGTTATTTAATCAAACACTGATGCTACATCACTAACCTTTTTCGGTAGTGACATATATCTTCCTTCTCCATATAATGTCCTCTGACATTTTGGCAACCTTTAAGACACTCTGTGATGCCAGCATTACCAAGCCCTTCAATATCCCACTCCTCAGCTCACTCTCTCCTCTCCTTCATCTGTTCTCCCTCATTTGTACTAACTCAATGAAGAAGTATTTCCATTGATATTTTTGTAGCTCACATTGCAAAAGACTCCCATCAATAGCAGTAGTATATTCTTCAAAGGAAAATTAAATGAGTCTTGAATTGTTCAGTTAGCATTTCAATTCTAAATGGGCACAAGGTTTGAATCTTGATATATTTGAATTTCAAACAACCAAATAACAGGATTTTACTTGAAATATATTCCTATCACCTTGGTCTACTTGGAATGCAAGAGGACCCTATGCTACTCCTCACTCTTCTCTCCCCCTCATTCTGCCCCCAAGAACTGTCTCTTTATACATCAATTCTGGTAATAATTCTTCTGCCTCCCTATTATCAGAGTATTACTAAAAAGAAATGTGGAACCAGAACATGGAGGATTTAAATCACAGTTTCAAATTGGTAGCAGAATTAATTCTAGATCTCCCCCAAAGCACCTCATATTTCAATTCTTTTTTCCCTCCTCACAATGCTAATCCTTTCTCATATATGTCTTTTTAAGCTGTGCATATGACCACATTCTAGTTAAACAGTTAATAAATGAGCAGGTATCATCTACCTTCAGGGACTTCTATAAAATAAAAATATTAAATTCTACTTTCTGGATAAATCTACACCAACTTGAATATTCTTTTCTGCCTCTTCTCCTCTCCATCATCCACATCCACAAACATTCATCTTAAAAACAAAACAAAACAAACTCCTCCCACTTATTTCCTTTGGGTCTTTTGAACAAGTAGTTTCCCCTTTAGCATTCTTTTCATATCTCCTTGACTCCCTAACTTTATAATATCCATATCATTTGAGTATGCTTTTAGATTTTCAACCAACTATTTTGATTGTCTTTACCTATATTGCAAATGCCCTATGCTCAACACACTTCAAATATAATGCATTCTGTCTGCAGTCCCACTCCCTCTTCTGCATTTTTCCCTTCTGTGGACACCACCATCCACACTATTTTGTAAGAAGATGTCCCCAAGCCATCAGTGATGCTTCTGCCTCTGTGCAATCCATTGCCAAAAACACCTATTTCTTAAAATAGTCTCTACTTCTATTACCAATCCTTAATTCAGGCCTTCACAATTTATAATTTTTTTAAAAAAAAAATGATGTTTATTTGAAAGATAGAGTGACAGATAGATGGGGGGAGAGAGAGAGAGATGGAGAGAGACATCTATCCACTGGTTCACTCCCTAAATGACCACAACAGTCAGGGCTGAGCCAGGCTGCAACCAGGAACCAAGAACTCCACCCTAGTCTCCTGCACTTGAGACACATTAGGAGAAAGTTAGATTGAAAATGGAGTAACTGGGACTCAACCTGGCACTCCGAGATGAGATGACAGCATCACAAGCAGTGGCCCAATCCATGGTGCCACAATACTGGCCCTATAATTTCTTTATAATTACAAATTTATATAGCTTCCTAAATGGTCTACTAACCTCTATTCTTGACTCCCCAGCAACACCCAAACTATTCACTCTCCACACTGCCACCAGACTGGTCTTCCCTCCTATACTAATCCCTGTACATTCTCCCCCACTGCCTTCAGGATAAAGCTCACAGAATAGCACAAACAACAAGGCCACTGGTGGTTGATGTGGCTCTTGCCAGACTACTACTTCCATCCCACTTTTGACCATCACAGCGACTTTAAAAATCATAGAAACAATTGCTAACACAGAGGGGTGCCTCCTGAGTTACAGGCACAGTTGGTGACTTGCATGGATCTGATTTCATCTAAACTTCATGATCACACTGCAATCCTGTTGCTTCTCTTCCCATTTACAAGGTTGTCAAAGGGTGCAGAATGACAGTTCTAAACCTGGGCCCTCTCCACATGAGGTGTCACATTCTTTCACACCGCTATAATTCAGTCTACCTAAAATTCCCTTGCCTCTATTCCAGTGACAATTTTGCTGCTTTCCTTTATACTGTCATGCAACCCCACCCCCAGGCAGAGTTGTTGCTGTTGTTGTCTTTCACTTTAATCATAGAGCACATTTTATAGCATCTATTTAGCATATATCTTAAGCCAATAATACACATTAACTCACTCCCCATCTCCCACTACAACTCTCAAGAAAACTAATGGACAAAGGAACTGGAGGTGCCATGTACTGAGGACTGAACCATGAAGGAGTGTCCAGTTCTCTAAAAACCCTCATTTGAGAGATTATCAACAGCATGGGAGGAGCCACTCTCTTCCCCTTTTCCCCGCAGCAGTTAAATGACAGAGTAAGAATTGAAGAGCACAGCAGAAGAAGAAGGTAGATGGGTTGGAAGAGCATAGAGGACACCTACCTACATACATCTGAAATTGAAAGAATTGCAGTATTGACGGCCCTGCTCCTCAGAGTAGGAGAGAAGATAAGACAGATTTTGAGTTGAAAGCCTACTGGACTCTAGTCCATATTTACATGCTTCCTCCCATTCATTAGCTTTTAAAAGGCAAGGATCTGCCTTAGAAAGCATTCTATCTCACTCCTACTTGCATATCTTTACCTAAAAATGAACAAAGGAAAAAACACTTTGAAATAGCTGTTTTCACTATATTCATTTCTTAAGCACTTATAGCTAGTAATGTCCTGTTACACCCAGTATATTAGTAAGCAGAACTGAATGAAAAATTTTACACATGTGTAAAATTGTCATCAGTGAGAATTTTGTTCTCAAATTCCAAGACACAAGAGAGTTTTTCCATTTAGAGATTTAAGGCATAACTTAGTTCCCTAGAGAACTCCTTTGCAGAATCACTGCCTTCCCATCAGCATGGAAAGGGAATGATTGTGAAAATGAGCAGCATCTACCAGTCAAAGAGCCCTGACCCAGCACACCATCTCCATGAACACTCACCTACTGCTTGACAGACCCTACATTAGGAAATAGTAATGATTATAACATAGTAAAATTAAATAACACCCTAATACACATAATAAAGAAAACATCTAAACATTTTTCTTAATATCTTAGACTTAATATTGTTTGGCAAGAGAATAGATTCTATGTATAAGAAAATTAAAGTTCCAGGGATGTTCATTCTAATAATATTCCTTAAAGTAATATCCTATTATCTAGTTTCCATTTGTCCATTGGAATTTCTCAGCAAACCCTGACTTGAGGAAACAGAGGGAAAGTGTACAAAATATAAAAATTTAATATAAAGAGAAAAGTGTGACCACAAATGTTAACAACAGTGAGGAGGCAAATATGTGAATAAGTTGTGTCCATGAGTGATTCTGTGTCCATCTTCATACCTCTTGATGGATTTCCAGCACAGCAGAAGACTTCCTGACAGTGGTAACGGTGTGCAGCCTGGATAGAGGAGATGAAAAGTGCAATTTAATATATGTATTTATAAGCACACATATACATACAAATATATATTCATATACGTATGTGTATATTTACATACAAGGGTACTTAAAATGGAATTAAAAGATAAGTTTATTGGTGAAAAACCCATATAAAGTCATTTTTATAATGTGTATTTTCCATGAACTTGTGTTTGATTATCATAAAGGTTATGTAAATAAGATCTCAATTAGAAAGAGATCAAAAATGATAAATTCATAATATTCAGAGTCAATTAATCCCTTGGGCAGATCTTTGCAAAACAAGCCACTTGTTTATTGCTCATTTCCTGTGCCACCATGAGTTTTCTGTTTTCTAGGATAAAATTCACTGCACAGCTGTGGGGAGCAACCCGGACTAGACTAAGTTACTGGAATTAAGACTTATTCTATGCATCTGCTCTCCCACAATATGGCGCTGAGAAGGGAGAAACAGCTTCTACACAGCTGCCTCCAGTTCAACCAATAAACTGTAGGACCTGCTCCTGATTGGAGGAGAGCAGCGTACTCGGCGTGTGGGTAGCAGAGTTGGGATTGGTGGAAGAGGACTATAAAGGAGGAGAGAGACAACATGCACCAGGAACATCTATCTGAAAGAACATCTATCTAAAGGAACACCTGTGCAGCCCCCGAGAGAGCCGGCCGGCGGTGTGCCGCTCCCCCGCGGAAGTGGGGAAAGTGGTAGGGGGAACCGCCCTTCCACGGAGGTGGAAGGGACGGTAGCCAACCCGGGAAGAACCAGCAGCAAACCCGGGGAGGGCCGAGCAGACAAAAGAACAGCGCAGGGTCCTGTGTCGTTCCTCCACGAAGAGGGGGAGCAACACACAGCTACTACCACTCAGCTGAGCCCTCTGCTCACCTACAGCATTGCCAACTATGGCAGTCAAGGAGAGATTTAAGTTTGGGGGCTCTTTTCTTTTTGCTAAATACTAGGAAGTAGAATGCCTCCACCTTCACTGTACATTCTCGGAGTCTTTGAACATTTTGTTTCCACCTGAGACTCACCCAGCATCTGAAGTCACCTTCCTGGTCACTGACATAGCTGGCCCAAGTCCTCACTGGTTCCCTGACTTTTCACAATGACTGTGCGTGACAGTCATCTGGGAAGCTAAACAAACTGAAGCTCAGATCCAGTCCAAACCAATTAAAGTGGCATCTCTTCAAGTGGGTCCAGACAGCAGTTTTTCAAAGTTCTGGATTATACAACCAAAATGGAAAAAACACAGTGCACAAAATAGGAGAGAAGCCTACATCCAGATACTCAGGTGGGAGCAACAATTCTATCGCTGTACTCTTGAACTTTTATGTTTACCTTGTAGACACATGATCAAATGAAAAAGATTAAAAAGGCGTATATTAAAAATGGTGTTGCCTCTGCTGCTGTAGTTTGAGGGAAGCGAGACAGACAATTTGAAGATAGACCACCAGTGTTTAAGATTCTGCTGTTTGCAATAGCTCTACGATCTGGGGCAAATTAACTACTTAAGGCCTAGAATTGAGATTAGCTGATATCAATGTCCATCGCCTGAAGTTGGTTTATCAGCTTCTATTAAAATCAGGTGAGGAATAAGGAGGGCCGTAGGGATGATTTTAACTTTTTTTTTTTTTTTTTTGACAGGCAGAGTGGACAGTGAGAGAGACAGAGAGAAAGGTCTTCCTTTTGCCATTGGTTCACCCTTCAATGGCCGCCGCGGCCAGCGCGCTGTGGCCGGCGCACCACGCTGATCCGATGGCAGGAGCCAGGTACTTATCCTAGTCTCCCATGGGGTGCAGGGCCCAAGGACTTGGGCCATCCTCCACTGCACTCCCTGGCTTCAGCAGAGAGCTGGCCCGGAAGAGGGGCAACCGAGACAGAATCCAGCGCCCGAACCGGGACTAGAACCTGGTATGCCGGCGCCTCAAGGTGGAGAATTAGCCTAGTGAGCTGCGGCGCCGGCCAATTTTAACTTTTAATGAACTGCTGAAATCACTCAAAAATTACTTTCACAATCGCATATTCACTGCATTAAGTTTTCTGTTTGAATTTAAAATATTTCTCAACAGATTCTCCCCTTAGAAGCAAATACACATTTGAGAGCTCAGAAACAGAACAAGGATATCAATTAATCCAGTTTAATCCAATTTAATTGTCCTTATTGCACATTAACCATGCTGGACCTCCTCTATGGATCTCCAAACCACTTGCTTGCTTAGCTTCTTAGTAACAAGGATGATAAAAAGTGGGGTGGGGAAGAGTGTTGGCTTTTTTGTAGAGATAAAAAGAAATCTCTGATGGCTATCTTCTACTTTCTGCCCTTCACTGAAGCAGACTCTTCTAACATACACAATAAAAATTTTAAAAATAAATAAAATCTGCCACCCAACACCTCATTAGCATTCCTTTCCTGAGGATGCTCCTCCATCTATAGATTGCTGGCTGCTCAGCACTTCTGCCTGTTTTCCCACTGAAAGCTTACACTCACTGGCGAGGAAATAGCCTGAGCCCAAGGCCAAGGCTGAGCCAGAGCCCTGCTCCATCAAGGCAATTGTTCTCTACCACAAAAATGGCTAATGGGAACAGGTAAAAACTGTGCTGTCTCCTGCCTGGCTGATTTTTTCCAAAGGTTTGTGGCCCTAAGTCACTTTCTTCTACGTAAATTTTCCTCTTCCCATTGTTGAGTGCTGAATATTTATGAGCTGCTCACACTGGTGAGTAAACCTACAGAACACAGACCCTGTCGAGGTAAAATTATGAGGTAGGTGAAGCACTTCCAGACACTCCTGTCAAATCCCTATTTCCTTCAGATGAAGAAGTGCCCCATTATTTTCTCCTTCAAAGGCTCTATTAGAATCATTCTCTCTAGCTGAATTCATAATAAAGTATCAATAGCTGATAAGGGCAAAGTGTTATTACTTCCAAAGTAGATGCATTATAGTGTTTGAATTTATTTAATTCAAGAGAGAAGGCGTTTACCTCCAGCAATATGAAATACCCACTAACAATTGTCTCCTAGACCTTCCAACACATCCTCTTTGCTTAATTCTTACATCTTGAGGACATGGCTATTGTTTTTATTTTATTTATTTATTTATTTGAGAGGCAGAGTTAAAGATAGAGAAAAAGGGAAGTCTTATATCCACTGGATCATTCCATTGGTGCTGCACCTATCCAAAGCCAGAAGTTAGGAGCTCCTTCCGGGTCTCCCGTGCAGGTGCAGGGGCCCAAGCACTTGGGCCATCTTCCACTGCTTTCCCAGGTATATTAGCAGGGAGCTTGATTGGAAGAGAAGCAGTGGGGATACAGGCACTCATATTGGATGCCAGCATCACAGGCAGAGGCTTAGCACACAACATCACAGTGCCAGCTCCACAGACATGGATATTGTTAACAAATCATCCCAATTCTAAGCTCTAGTTAATTTGTCCAAAACTATAGATCTTTTGCTAACATCAGAATCTTAAATACTGGTTGTCTATCTCCAAATTGTTTCTCTTTCCCCACACCATATCAATGATGCCAATATAACCTTTAATTAGTGCCTTTTTTATATTATTTTTCATTGATCATGCATCTACATGGTAAAAATAAAGTTCCAGTGTTTTGCTACTTGTTCAAATACAGTGATAAAACAAAAAATAAACCAACTCCTTCTCAAAGCTAGTTCAACCTTTTTCTTACTGCCCCATAATTATTCAAGGAAGAAGTCTTGAAAAATTTCTATATATCAAGTGAATAATAATTAAAGGGGATCTGAGAACCCTAGTCCTTCTCAACATTTCTCACCTCAGACCATGAATTCAGGTTTCTCTTCTAACTTCTACTGGTAAGACTAGTTGTCAATGGACACAGAAGACCACCAATGGGTCCAAGTCTTCATCTACCCTGAGCCTTTTGGGTCTTCAGGGAAAAAAAATGGTGCCAGATTCCCAAACTCCATTGTTAATTGTGTAGCAGAAACAGATGGAAGAGCTTAAGTTTTGAGACCCAATAGACATGAATTTAAATCCCTACTTTACTACCTTCTGGCTGTGTGAATATGAGCAGCACACTTAACCTTGCTTGAACTTCAGTTTCCTCATCTGAGAAAGACAAAGAATAACACTGGGCTCTTGTAAAAATAAAATAGCCTGACACCGAGCAAAAATGTTATTCCTTTCTCTCCTTCCTCTGCTTTCCCAACTGCTACAGTCATGGTAATGATTTCCCAGACAAGAGAATCATTCTGTCGTGAGAATTTAATTTGTATCAATGCCACATAGAACAGTGCTCTTGGAGTAAAATGGATGTAGCCTCAAATAAGGAAGTTAAGAGACATTGATATATAGTGGCTGCTCAAAGAGATACTTCTCTGTGTCCTGCTTATCCCAGAATCAAAATCAGAATCACATGTCTCACTATTTACCCATGTTGCTCAACACTGACATACCTGATGACTTAATTCCAGGAATTTTGATGAACAGAAAACAAAGGCCTCTTTACACAACTCCTAGGTGATGAGCTGTAACTTTGAGACAGTACAGTCAAGTGGGTTGCAGCCCACAGAATTTTGGAACAAAGAGTATGACTTACTTCCAACTTCTGAAACTTTACCTGAAATCTTCCAATGACTTCTTTTTGGTTGCTTTCAAACCACTAGTTCGGCAACAGGAAAATTTGTAATCAATGACTTGGTAGATGATCGGATTGTACATGGCTGCTGATTTTGCAAGGAGTGTTGGCACCACAGAAAGCTGTATTGGGATGGAGTCTGGCCTTCCAAAAGCTGACCACACAGAGACTACTGCATAAGGAATCCATGCAATCAAGAATCCAGCACAAATCAACATCGCCACCTAAAGAGGGAGGGGAACAGAGAACAGAATCAAGAGACTGAAATGACATGGAGGAGGGACAGGTCATCCTTCATACCTAAAAGTCTATTATATTTTCCATTTATCTTGTAAGTAAGGAATCATTTCAGATGGATTTTTGAGAAGTGCTGTTAGAATTCATTACAATTCCTTATCCCATTTATCACATCCTATCCATTCTTAACCCCAAATCTCCCTATACCAAAAACCTAAAGTATAACCCTATAAAAACTGTCAGATTGTGCCTATGTTGGGTAAGAAACTATAATAAAAAGAATATCAGTGCTCCCAAGCTTTCCAGACTTCTCAACCCACATTCACTTACAAACTTGACAGAAATATGTTCACCTTGATGAAATTTTAAATTATCCATATTTGCCTCAGGAAACTTAGAGAATTTGCCCTGGTTTGAAATTCTAATATGAATCTTCTTCAGAGATTTCTATTAAATGTTATTTCTTTTGACTCAAATTTTTCTCAAGTTTGAGGTTTAGATAGTGGAAATTCACTAGGTATGAAGCAAAATAGAGTCATCAGGCTTCAGCCCAAGTGTCACAGTGCTATAAAATAAGACTTTTCCAGAAAGCACTCTTTTTTCTCACAAAATTATAATTACCTTAGAGGGCCTTTTAATTTTAGACCAAGGAATAATTAGAGACCAGGTTTAAAACACCCTCATGAGTTTCTCACCATTTGCAGTTCAGTCCCTTTAATAAGGTAGCCCTAATTAGTGCCCTGTAACTACCTCACTGACCCCTCTTAATCATCTCACATCAATTCAACAAATGCATTTTAGCCATTTAGCCATTGCTCTGTACAAGACACTGTGCCAGCTGATGTGAGGGATCCCGGTATAACACAGCACCTAACTTGTATCCCTCCAAAATACAAATAATTGCAGTACAAAGCTGACTATTATTTCAGTTTCAGCTCAGAGGAGCACAAAATTACATCCCACTGGGCAAACAAAGAAGATGTTCATGGAGGATGTGGAATATAACCTGCCCCTTGGTAAGTGGAAATAAAGAAATAATAGTCAGACTAGCCTGAGAGAAGGCATAACGTGTTCTGTTGCATAGTGATCAATTACTATAAGAAAATAGAAGAAACCAACAAAGGGAGATGGTACTTGAAAAAAATTATTGTATTTGTGGGTTTGCATAACATATTCCTGTGCTTGCAGCTTAATTCTGTATGCTTTGAGGCACTAGCAGATTTTTGAGCAGCAAACATGATGAGAGCTCTGCTTAAGATTTACCTGCAGAATGAAATAGAGAAGGAAGAAATAGGAGGTAGAATAATCATTGTTTATTCATTTAATCAATAAATCTTGCTGAGAATCTTCTATATGCTTTGTGTGGAGGATAAAACAACGAACAAAGCAGACAAGTCCCTGTCTACACAGATTTTCCACCCTTAGCCAGATTGTTTAGGCAAAAGTCTAAACAAGAAATAAACGGAGTGTTAATTCGAGTATTATGGAATTGATATCATTGGCATCACATGACCCAAGCCTGGCCAATCACAGGACTAGATGCCCTCAGCTGCAATAATACGAACGGGGACCGGCACATGACTCAGAAGAGTTTGATCATGCCAATCTTGGGATTTTTATAAGGGATTTCTACCTTTTTTAAAGATTTATTTATTTATTTGAAAGTCAGAGTTACACAGAGAGAGAAGAAGAGGCAAAGAGAAAGAGAGGTCTTCCATCCGCTGGTTCACTCCCCAGATGGCTGCAACAGCTGGAGCTGCGCCAGTCCAAAGCCAGGAGCCAGGAGCTTCTTCCAGGTCTCCCATGTGGGTTCAGGGGCCCAACAACTTGGGCCATCTTCCACTGTTCTCCAGGCCATAGCAGAGAGCTGGATCAGAAGAGGAGTTACGCCAGAGCACCAGCCCCAAAATTTCCTTTTACCTTTGAGCCCCTACAACCCCGGGAAGATGTCAGGATGGAGTTATCTCCATCACTTCCTCTCCCTGTCATTCTCTAGTTTAAGAACTACAGCAATAATTCCCAACATCAGGGTAATGACAAGTTATGTGGAGAATCAGTGATAAAACAGTGAGACCTGAGATATTTTACTGTTGATAACTAAAGCACCCGTATTTGTGAATACTTTTTTGTTTTGGAAGTTCGATTGAATGTTTACTTTCTTCTAAGAAAGTAAATCCATGTGTATTTCTTTTTTAAGATTGATTGATTTTGTTTATTTTCTTCTAAGAAAGTCATCTACATCCATGTGTATTTCTTTTTTTAAGATTGATCGATTTTAAAGGCAGAGAAAGAGGGGCTGGAGTGGGGCAGGGGTGATGTAGAGAGATCTTCCATACATTGATTCACTCTTCAGATGCCTGCAACAGCCAGGACTAAGCCAGGCTCAATCCAGGAACCCCAAACACCATCTAGGTCTTCCACGTGGATGGCAGGGACCCAACCAGTTAGGCCACAGTTTGCTGCCTCCTAGGCACATTAAGAAGAAGCTGGATGAGAAAGAGTGGAGCCAGGACTCGAATCACCAGCACTCCAAAATGTGATGTAGGCATCCTTAGCAGTGGCTTAATCTGCTGCACCACAGTGCCCATGCCTACGTGCATTTCAATATACTTTAGTGGGAACAGAGCTATCACATTCAGGAAGTGTTCAGAACCTTCAGTCTACTTGACCTGTGGAACTGTCTGTGGAGTGTCTACTCTGGGAACACACCTTAGTGGGTGCATAAGAAGAACAAAGCATGGAAAATATGCCCTGAAGTCTCAGCTGCTAAAATTATACCCAAAAATTTTAAGGTCCATCTCTGAAAATAAACTGCAGCAGACAAAAGTCTTAACATCTATTTTGCTCCATGTTGCAAATAGAGAAGCTGAATCCCTGAGCAATTAATCAAGTGAGTTCAGATCTCCCTGGTGTCTTACAACCCTGCTTTAAGGGTCCTGAGCCAAAATTATCACTTGTGTTTAACACCTATAAACTGTTTGGATCTCACACATCCATGCAGCTCTCACATTGGGCTTGCTTTTCCATGTTTCTGCAGAAGTACACCCAGGAGAAATTATCATTCAGTTTGGTCTCTGTGATTTTTGTTTGTAAATGGAATGGATGCCTCAAGGCTCACAGTGAGGGCCTTCTTTTCAAAAATTCCAAATAAACACTAACTATATAAATAAGGCTTGCTTTAGCAGATGTCTGTGGACTTCACATAGCCCCATCCTTGCTTCTTTGGTGAGTCATATGATGATTTCACAGTATCTCAAAAACTGCTTTCTGTGTTGCTGCCGACAAAGTCATTGACAAAAAATAGATTAACACTTAGTCCATAATATTTTCTGTATTTTACATAATTTCCCTTTTTGAGACTGTGCACCAGGAAAGAGGGAGGGTTTACATTTGCACTATGTTATCCTTTTTGAAAGGACATAGGATAATTAATCACACTGTGGTTTTAAGAACACATAGCAAATGAATCATTGTAGTTTCTCTGGGATTAGAATAAAGCTAAATACTTTAACAGAAATTGAGTTTAAAGCTCACAGAAGTATAAACAGCTGGATCTAAAAAGTACTACAAAATGTTCTTTATGTTTTTGAAGTGAATACAAAGTTAACATTAGGCATGTTCATTTTCTATAATCTTTTCATTTTAGAATATACTCCACACAATATTAAACATTTAAATACCAAAACTATTTTAGATATAATTCACAAAAATTTCCAAAACCTTCATGGTACACTCTATCTTTTCCAGAAATTTTAACCCATCTTAGAACATGTTATAATCTTTTCATCAGTCTGTTTCTCATCATTCTCAATTTAACTTCACATTTTTCTCAATTCTCACTTTTGTTGACCTAAATGTCTTACCCAAATATCCTAAAATCAGTTCTGACACAGGCATCTGTACACATTAACTTTACATAAGTTATTTTTTTAATTGCTTCACTTTTATTACTACTTTTTGGCTTGTTCGAAAAGAAGTATAACTTTTTTTCAAAATATTTATTTCTTTTTATTTACTTGAAAGTCAGAATGGCAGAGAGAGAAAGAGAGAGACAGTAAAATCTTCCATCTGCTTGGTCATACCCCAGATGCCCATAAAAGCCAGGACTGTGCCAGGCTGAAGCCAGGAGCCAGGATGAAGTCATCCAGGTCTCTCATGTGGGTTCACAGGGCCTCAGTACTTGAGCCATCGTTTGCTGCCTCCCAGGGACATTAGCAGGAAGCTAGGTTGGAAGCAAAGGCAGAGGTAGAACTTGATCCCAGGCACTCCAATATGGGATGAAGGAGTCCCAAGTGGCACCTTAACCTCCTGCAATCCAATATCCATCATTAAATAAAACTTTAAATTCCTAAATTTGTCATTTTGTGGAAACAAATTCATAGAATATACGTACAGCTTCCACAACAGAACTACACATCTGTCACCTAATTCATTGTAAATGCAGCTTGCTGCAGAAGACCAAAGGATGTCAATACTCTCTAGCTCTAGTTCAAGCTGAAACTCAAGTTTCAGTGCCCCAGAAATAATGACCGTAAGTATTCAGTTCCAGTGAGTTAGCCACTTAAATCAATAACAAAATAATAATGTGATCAAAGGTAAACTCTTCACATAATGTGTACTTGCACCTTTGTGTCTAAAACATCTGAATCACCCCAGCAGATATGGTTTCTAATGGGGACGGGGGTCTCCTTTCGTCTGTGCTCGGGCAGTGTGGAAAGGGGGAAAGGTCATGGGCAAGGATATGATCTCTGTCACCCCAGTGATGTTCCAGCTCCGCTGATAAGTGTGAGGGGAACAGGATCCCCGATTCTCTGCTTACAACTATTTCAGGAGTGCCCAGTTCTTCCCAGGCTCCTTTGCCAGATGTGAATAAGGCTTCAGTCACATTTGCAGCTGCAGGATGCCTTGAATAATGAAATAGGTGAGAAGAGGAGGTGGCATGGATGTGAAAGAAAAGGCTTCTAAGGAGGAATGGAAGATGGAAGAA